CGTCAACCCGGGAGGCGGAGCTTGCAGTGAGCCGAGATCGCACCACTGCACTCCAGCCTGGGCGACAGAGCGAGACTGCGTCTAAAAAAAAAAAAAAAAAAATTGGACCAGGTGATGGGTGAGAGACAAATTTGACAGCATAGTGACAAATACAGAAAGATTCAGAATGTGGGTGCCAAAACAAAAATTTGGGGGAATCACCACAGACCCTTGCTTGCCCAAGTACATGACCCCCAACTGACTGACTTTTCCCACCAGTCTCTCTCGCCTCTCCAGCTAAGCAGGCTCTTCCACCACACCTAGCTCCTGCCTTAGGGCCTTAGCGCCTGCTCCTAGAACGTTCTTCCCACGTTTTTCACTGGCTCACTCCCTCACCTCCTTTCAGGGCTCCGCTCAGAGGCCTTCCTGAACCCCCAGCTAAGACAATATTAGGGTCGGGCGCGGTGGCTCACACCTGTAATCCCAACACTTTGGGAGGCCAGATGGGTGGATCACCTGAGACCAGGAGTTTGAGACCAGGGTGAAACCCCATGTCTACTAAAAATACAAAAATTAGGCCAGGCGCAGGTGGCTCACGCCTGTAATCCCAGCACTTTGGGAGGCCGAAGCGGGCGGATCATGAGGTCAGGAGATTGAGATCATCCTGGCTAACACAGTGAAACCCCGTCGCTACTAAAAATACAAAAAAATTAGCCAAGCGTGGTGGCGGACGCCTGTAGTCCCAGCTATTCGGGAGGCTGAGGCAGGAGAATGGCATGAACCTGAGAGGCAGAGCTTGCAGTGAGGCGAGATCACACCACTGCACTCTAGCCTGGGTGACGCAGCAAGACTCTGTCTCAAAAAAAAAAAAAAATTAGCCAGGCATGGTGGCGGGCACCTGTAATCTCAACTACTCCGGAGGCTGAGTCAGGAGAATTACTTGAACCCAGGAGGTGGATGTTGCAGTGAGCTGAGATCACACCACTGCACTCTAGCCTGGGCAACATAGCAAGACTCAGTCTCAAAAAAAAAGAAAATAATAATATTATTATTATTACACAGATTATCTAAGTCTAAAATTCTAATCTCCACCCTGACTGCTTACTCTGCTTCACTGTCCTTCCGGGCCTGACATTAGACCTCTTAATTACCCACCTTGCCCACTACATTCTTAGTTCCACGAAGGCAGAAATGTTTTGTTTGCTGCTGTATCACCTAGAACCTTCTATGACATAGGGGGGACTCAAATATATGCTGATGAAAGCAAGACACCATGCATTTTTTTTTTCTTAGAGATAGGGTCTTGCTCTGTGGTCCAGGCTGGAGTGCAGTGGCATCATAACGGCTCAGTGCAAACCTCCTGGGTTCAAGCAGTCCTCCAGCCTCGGCCTCCTAACGTGCTGGGATTGTGGGGATTATAAGCGTGAGCCACTGCGCCTGACCCACACAGACATTCTTTTTTTTTTTTGAGACGGAGTCTCGCTGTTTCACCCAGGCTGGAGTGCAGTGGCGCGATCTCGGCTCACTGCAAGCTCTGCCTCCCGGGTTCACACCATTCTCCTGCCTCAGCCTCCCGAGTAGCTGGGACTACAGGCGCCCGCCACCACACCTGACTAATTTTTTCTATTTTTAGTAGAGACAGGGTATTACCATGTTAGCCAGAATGGTCTCCATCTCCTGACCTCGTTCGTGATCTGCCCGCCTCGGCCTCCCAAAGTCCTGGGATTACAGGCGTGAGCCACTGCGTCCCGCCATTTTTTGAATTTCTGATAGAGACGGGGTTTCACCGTGTTGGCCAGGATGGTCTTGATCTCCTGACCTCATGATCCACCCGCCTCGGCCTCCCAAAGTGCTGGGATTACAGACGTGAGCCACTGCACCCAGCCCACACACACATTATTAATCAGACTTGTTGCAAACTGTTTTTGGGACACACAAGAAAAACAAATACTTTCTCACTGTGAACACTGAGAACATCTCCCCAAAAGTCCAGCTGCCTCCTCCTTAGGAAGATCAGCTATAGTATCTGAGCAAAATATTTCTCACACTTGCACAGGCTTAGCTCACAATCCACAACAGAATGCTTCCCGACCACCGGGCAGACAAAATCCTTCTCCTCAGCCAAAGCCAAAACACAAGTTACAGGTGAATGAAAACTTTCAACACAGGAAAGAATGGGGGATGAGGTAAAACCTAAAGTTGCTGATCTTTAAATACTGCCATTTATTGGCTCTTCCTGAACCTTCTCCTTCTTGGCTATGGAAGTTGGTCCCCATGACGACAATGTGATGAGGGTTTTAAGTCTGACTGAATCGGGGGACAGAGTCAAACTTGAGGTTAACAATGCCACTGGGGTAAGGTGGTGGTGCCGGGCACGGTGGCTCACACCTGTAATCTCAGCACTTTGGGAGATTCAGGTGGGCAAATCATGAGGTCAGGAGTTCAAGACCAGCCAGGCCAACATGGTGAAACCCTGTCTCTACCAAAAATACAAAAATTAGTTGGATGTGGTAGCAGGCACCTGTAATCCCAGCTACACGGGAGGCTGAGGCAGGAGAATCGCTTGAACCCAGGGGGCAGAGGCTGCAGTGAGCCGAGATCACATCACTATACTCCAGGCCAAGCAACACTGCGAGACTCCATCTCCAAAGAAAAAAAAAGAAGAAGGTGGTGGTGATGGTGGGGCATGGAAAGACGTTCAGGAATCTGTGTTGGTGGGGACAGGTCAGAGGCTGGCGGGAGGATGCAAAGGTCTAATCGCTGTTAAACAGCCTTCACACCCTCCCTGCATTGGAACTGACGTCCCTGCAGCCACCAGTGTTCTTATCCACTGGAGTGGGCAGAGCTTACTTCCCCGCCCCAGTGAGATGGAGTGTGCTGGCAAAAACGACTGGCAAGTGTGCCCGCTTGTGCATCTGCCCATGTCAGGGCAAGCGCTCTCCAGGCAGCTGCTGCCCTCAGCCTGGACAGCAGAATGAACACCCTGGCGCAGAATGAGTTCACCCTGCCGCAAGGAGCCAAGCCCAGTGTGACCCACAGCTTAGCGTCCAGCCTGGATCAGATGAGCCCAGCACACCCGTGCATACAGAAGAAATCCTCTCACCCCAGCTGCTCAGGAGGCTAAGGCAGGAGAATTGCTTGAACCCAGGAGGCAGAGGTTTCAGTGAGCTGAGATCGCACCACTGCACTCCATCTAGCCTGGGCGGCAGAGCAAGACTCTGTCTCCAAAGAAAAAAAAAAAAAAAGAAAACCAGAAGTGCTCTCACGTGCTGCCGTGCTGCTGAGCTCCAGCAGCTGGTCCACAGCATCTCAGGATATAGCAGTCACTCACTCATACACAGCAGGAGAAACCAGAGAGAGGCACAGGACTTAGAAGTCAGGGCCAAGGTCAAGGTGCCACACAGGGAGGGCAGTAGGGAGGAGACTCACATCCCATCAGTCTTCTCGGCGTCCCACTCGCGCCGCCACTGGCCAGTGGGTTTGCGGTGCCTCTGCAGCCGCTCCTGGTCGATCTTCTCCCTCTCCTGCTTCCAGCGCAGGTACTCCGACCGCTCCCGGCCCGTCATGGACAACGTCATGTCTCCAGCACTGCCCAGGCCAGCTCGGCGGCCCTGCCCCCCAGCCCAGGGGGAGTCAGGGCGCAGTCCCACACCCCACCCCACCCCTAAGCCCCAGGGCACATCCACTTGCTCAGGGTCACACAGGAAAGCAGTGACAAGGCAGAGATCACAACCAAGTAGGCTCAGGTGGCACCTCCTCAGAGAGGCCCTCTCAGATCTGTAGCATCCCTCTGTCCCCTCAGCTGCTGGACTTTTCTCCACAACACTTGGCAGGACCTCACATCTTGCTATATTTTCATTCACTCAGCTCCCACCAATAGAAACCTCATCAAGGAAGGGGCTCTGCCTCAAAACTCTTATCCCGCTGGGCGTGGTGGCTCACGCCTGTAATCCCAGCACTTTGGAAAGCTGAGGGGGGCGGATCACAAGGTCAGGAGATTAAGACCATCCTGGCTAACATGGTGAAACCCTCTCTCTACTAAAAATACAAAAAATTAGCTGGGCGTGCGGCTACTCCCAACTACTCAGGAGGCTGAGGCAGGAGAATGGTGTGAACCCAGGAGGCGGAGCTTGCAGTGAGCCAAGATGGCGCCACTGCACTCCAGCCTGGGTGACAGAGCGAGACTCCGTCACCAAAAAAAAAAAAAATTACTGTTAGTAACAAGAAAACGCTCAAACATACCACAAAGCTGTAACAACTAGAGCAGCGTGGTACTGACAGAAGAACCAAAAGATGAACAATTTGGGGGTGGACCACCAAGTGCAAGGACACTGCCCCTCCCTCCTCTTCTAGGTCAGGTCCCCACCCCTCACACAGCACCTGCCACATGGTAGGTGCCTCATAAATGCTGATGTCATTAACAATGAGGGAAGATTTGCCTTAGCAGGAAACAAAACATACCACAAATCCTTAATAATTAAAATCCTGGCCAAGCACGGTGGCTCACACCTGTAATCCCAGCATTTTGGGAGGCCGAGGCAGGTAGATTACTTGAGGTCAGGAGTTGCGAAGACCAGCCTGGCCAACATGGTGAAACCCCATCTCTACTGAAAATACGAAAAAATTAGCCAGGCGTGGTAATACTCGCCTATAATCTCAGCTACTTGGAAGGCTGAGTCAGGAAAATTGCTTCAACGCGGGAGGTAAAGGTTGCAGTGAGCCGAGATGGCGCCACTGCACTCTAGAATGGGTGACAAAGCAAGACTCCTCTCAATGAAAAAAAAAGTCCTGTGCTACGGCACAAAAAAGGAGAGGCCCTGGCCGGGCGCGGTGGCTCAAGCCTGTAATCCCAGCACTTTGGGAGGCCGAGACGGGTGGATCACGAGGTCAGGAGATCGAGACCATCCTGG